GGGGGGGGGGGGGGGGGGCACCACGCTTTCTTGTGTGGTAAAAAAAACACTACAAAGACCAGAGATTAATCAGACAGTCATCTTACAACTCCTTTCTCCATTTTTGTAATTTGCAACTATCTCAACTATCTAGAATCTAGATTACTCTGCACATGTGGCAAAAACAAAATTGATTTTACAACTTGCTTAAATTTTACTAGTGCTTAGATATTTTTATCATGAACAAATCTTGATGAAATAACCCACAACAAGCCATACTGATCTCGCTTACCAGATGACAACACAACGATTATGTACTGCCATCCGAGAGCAGGGGTGTGCCGCCTGATGGACTTCACTTCTGTGAACGGAACCGCCCTGATGGTATACAGATCACTGTCTAGAAAAGGCAGCAACCGAAAACAAAGTTAACACATTATCATCCACTCATTATATCAAAACGTAATACATCAATCCAAGGCGACAAAACGAATACCTTTCTCCGTGAGATTTGCATTTGAACTTTGACCTTTGTTCGGAATCCATGACTACGCATCACACAAGAAAATGCAGCAACATTTCAATGCAAGCATAATACATGAATTTAAATAGCATAGTACGTAATATCTTCTAGTGATCGAGTGAGCAACACATACATGCCCTTTAAGACGCACACGCAATTCTAATAATACAAGAAATCTCGAGCAGTCGAATCCTCAAGCAAACTAATCATGAAGAAGCTGCAATAATTACCAGAAAAAGAACAGAATCTTGCTTAGTTAACTTCAGTCTCCCACTAATCCTCTCGGATGCGAGCTGGGTCGGATGAATCGCAACACTATCCTTTACATACACCATTTCACCACCTTCTCGTTCATTCGACGAGCTTCTGTTCCCGCAATCGCACTGCATCATGCTCGCTGAGCCCTGCCGAATTCAGATTTCCAGCAAAAAAACATAGAAATCGTTAGCTAAATGTAGAAAATCAAATGAAAATACTTTGTGCAGAATCGAACGGATCAATCCGAATGATCAAGATTTCAATTTTGATAGAATTAAGGTACGAAGAACACAAAAACTAGTTGAAACCGCTTACTTGTTGCTGAGAAGCAGCGTAATCGGCGTCGCCGGAGAGACCCTGGAGCTCCGATTCCTCCATGGACATCGATCCGGGAGAGAGATTGATCTGATTGCCTTCGCGACAAAGAAAGGACGAAGTTTTACGCGTTTGGGAATGAATACTAGATTTAAACAAGAAAAAAAAAACAATTAAGAAAACGATTATCCCCGCGTGATTACTCGAATGGGCCTTGTAAGTTGTAAACAGGGCGCGTGGCCATCCGGTTTGGTTTGGTTATATTCGGTTCGAATCTAATTTTTTGTTATAAAAAAACTTTTTTTCAAAAAAAATTGTCAATTTTTTTTATTCTTTTTATTCGGTTGTTGGATTCCTATTTTTTTTTATTTTAAAAAAATTATAACTATTCGATTTTTATATTATATTCGGTCTGATTATAGTTATATCTTATTCGATTCTAATCGGTTATTCGGTTAATACTAATCGGTTATTCGGTTAATAAGTAATATATTATAATGTTTTATAATAATCATTTAAATTATGCAAGTAAATTTCTATTGGTGTATTCGTTCTCTACTTTAACTTTACAATGTAATTGTCATATACACATAGGTATATACATATATAAATATTAATTTTTTTAAAGGTCTGTCAATAAATACATTGGAATGAAACATTTACATATATTTTTTAAAAAAACAAATGTGATGTTTATGTTTCCAACTTTTTATCCTTTTGATGAGAATATAAATGTTTCGACCTGGATAAATATTTATCTATCAATAAAAAATATTTCATATATATTTTTAATACCATTCTAAATTTGTTGCCAAATTGTTTTCTATAAGCTTCAATGCATATTTTTTTTTTTTGCATAACTATTAATTTAATGTTAGTTGTTATTGTTTGTCTGCATATATTTATAATTAGATGGAAAACATGAACATTCATTTAAAACTGTGGTGGCAACTACCTTTAAAAGGTCAACCGTTCACTCCTTATGAGATATAAATACTTGTATCACCCTTCAATTGCTTAGATAACAAATTATAAATATGGTTCTGCCTAATAATTCATTCAACTATATAAATGTACTAATTTATATTTTTCTTTTCTTGTTAATAAAATTAGTAGAAAATATTCAAGTTTTTAAAAATAAAATTATCGAGTCTCGTTTCGTCGCAAAGACAACGTGATATATTCAAGATATTAAAAAAAATTATGGATATGATATTGATCACAATGTTTGAGTAAAAAGGTATGAATAATTGTAGAATTACTCGTTTGGGGTTTTCAATTCATGATATAAAACGTGCGTATAAATCTTATTGAATAAAATAATATAACATATTATTACATAAGTAAATCTTTTTCTAGAGTAATAAATTTATTTAAAATTATTGAAAAAAAATGAGATTCAAGAAATTAAGATAATATTTTTTTGAGTCGCGCCATTTTTTTTCTTAAAAGACAGGAACAGCAAACCGTACCATGAAACATACATGATACATACACTTTACACATTAACGCTTAGTACAATCGTTTGAACTTTGCTAAGGGTTCAAATGTAAATGATCTCAGAAATCTCAATCCATCTTCAATTCTGTTCTTCAAGCAAACATTTTCATGGAAGAAAAAAAACCCGGAAACACGGATAATTCCTTTGTTCGCTTACGTTTTCCCCACCACATTGACGGGTGAATCGCGGATACTATTTGATCTCATACCGTGGTTTTGCAGACTCACCCCGAGATCCCCCGTTTTCTTAGGCTTCCCCTGCCGAGACACGCGTGAATTGTACGATAAAACCGCGTAATCGTGCAGATCTTGCAGAGGAGTTAAGATCTTGACGACATCTTCCATGGTGGGTCGAGATTTCGGGTCACGACTAAGGCAGTTGTGAGCCAAATGTGAGATCTTTTGGACACCCTTGATAGAGTAGTTCAGTTCGAGACGAGAGTCCACGAGATGGTGAAATTTTCGCTTGTCTGATAGATAAGGGCGTGCCCAGGTCACGAGGTTTTGCTCTCCCGTGGGTCGTTTCTTATCCATCGATCTTCTACCCGTCAAAATCTCGAGCAGAACCACGCCAAAGCTGTATACATCACTCTTTGACGTCAAGTGTCCTGATGGAAAACACAATGAAATGGCTTTTAGTTAGGAATGGACCAAAAAAAAATCTTGAATTTCGACGATTACATGTAATGAGATTGGGTTTTGTTATTAGGAAAACCCGAATTTTGGATTCGTATTTGGGTATTTGCGTGCGAGACGGGTGTTATCCGCAGTTACACAAGTAGTAAATTGACCTCTAGGATTTAAAGAAATTATGTAAAAAGACCTAAGGTTTAGAATGAAGTCTTTCAAAATTTCGGGTTCATGTTCGGGTAGTCATAGTATTTCTCGTATATGAAAAATTTGACGTTTTGTATTTGAATCTCGAGTTCGGGTGCCCACGAGTATGCAAAAATTATCTCGAGTATCCGACTTGAAATACCCGTCCAAAACGAATTCGAGATTGGGTAATATCTCATGAGACCCGAAATATTCGGATTTGGATTCAGATAATCCGAAAATCTCGAATACCCTACTCATGTCCGCCTTTGCTCTTAGTTGTGTTTTGTAATGCAACTCAGTTTATGTAACCATCCTTTCATGTTTTCAGTTACCTGTCATGACATATTCAGGAGCAGCGTAGCCGTACGTTCCTACCACCCTCGTGGAAACGTGAGTTTTGTCGCCTTGAGGGCCGGCTTTCGCCAAACCAAAATCTGAAAGCTTTGCATTGTATTCCTTAAAAGGAAGAAACGGAAAACTTCAGAACCAAATCGCGCCGAACATAACAATGAAAACCAGACTAGCTATACGCAGCGCATATCCGACATACCGAGTCAAGCAAAATATTTGACGTTTTAAAGTCTCGATATATGACGGGTTCAGGACCACCATGGAGAAAGGCAAGCCCTTTTGCAGCACCAAGCACGATCTTTATCCTATTGGACCACGGAAGAGGTATGGTCCCTTCGTAGATTTCGTCCATCATTTCAGTAAATTGCAGATTTATTTTGTATTTATAAGCGAACGAGTGTGTTCGAGAACAGAGAGAGAGAGACGGAACTCACTTCGAAAGAGATGGTTTTCGAGGCTTCCACGAGTCATGAACTCGTATACAAGAAGTCGCTGATCATCTTCGATGCAGTAGCCAACGAGCTTCACGAGATTGGGATGATGAAGCTGTCCAAGAAAATCAACTTCCGCCTGCAATTCAAACGCAGACAACATTAGCCACACTCATCTCGTCATCTGTTGAAGATGTAATGATTTGGATCCATCTATTCCGAGGGAGTTTTATCCGATCCAATCAAGAAACAGCATATAATCTCATCTATCGTCTACCGAGTATCTCTATGAGGAATGTCAAGGCTTCAAAACTCACCACCCATTCTCGATGACCCTGGAGACCATCAGGCTTCAAACTCTTGACGGCGACAGCCATTCCCGACCCGGGTTTGGCTGCCGCGGTCCCGTTCTCCTCTACCCATCCTTTGAAGACATAACCGAATCCTCCCTCACCAAGAATACTGTCCGGTCTGAAATTGCCCGTGGCGGATTTCAGCTCCTGGTACGAGAACTGCAGCAACTGACACCGACCCTTGTTCTTGTTCTCCGAGCCCCAATCAGCCTCGTTCGGAGGACAGAGTTCTCGGTTGCTCGCGTTCAGATACCGTATCTCCGTGCCTGCCAGCCCACATGCTTGGGCGTTATTAAACGTTACCACAGAGTCTGATCAACATTATGGTTACAGCTTCAAGATTTGAGACAGTAAACCAAATCTAACACCCAAGACCCAACCAAAGGCAAAGATTGTGTCCCTGAGTTGCTTGTCTTTTTCCATATTCTATACCCAGATTAGAATAATGTTCTTCAATTTCTAGTTTCTCCATCAAACTGTTATACTGAGAATTTTCCCGGAAAGTTTATCCAACATACTGACAAAAACATAAAAGTCGAGCTTCGGAACCCAAGAATAAAAATAAAGAAAAAAATGGCGGCGAAGTTACGCATCCACAGACAGAAATACACTCGGATTTTACACTCTGCCCAGATTTCGACTTTCCTAAAATTGGAAAGAGAAACTCTAGATTCACACTTCAACTTCAACCGAAAATCAACTTTTCGAAAAGAATCCATAAAAGCAGGGAACGAGAAGAAACCGAAAACGCAACAAAGGATTCTTCACAGATTCGATTTCGAGTGAGGACGAAGCAGCACTGTTTACCGGCGTCATCGTAGACGAGGCTAGAGCGAGGAATAGCGTTTGGAGAATGCGTCGAAGACGCAGACGCGGTGGCTCCTCGAACACCGCGTTTCAGGACGGCCCAGCAACCGCACTTCTCCGTGCTTTGGTGATGGTGATGATGATGGTGATGACGACGACGGTGACGAAGATGATGATCCTCCATTGATTTCGCTCCAAATCATCGCAGGGGTTTCAGGATTTCACGCATGTACATCTATATACACTCATAATACCCTCCCACGAATCAAAAATCTCAGATTCCAGGAAAAGACAGAAAAAAAAAAAAAGAACAACAACAACTTGGAGAGAGAGAGAGAGAGAGAGAGTGATAGAGAGGTTGGTGCAGAGGAATGGAGGCATAATCATCACCACCACCATCTCGCGGTTTGTGTACAAAAAGAGCTTTTTTTTTTTGTAGGGCATTTAGCTTTCTTTTTTTTTTCCGGTTTGGATGGGGGCCATCGACTGTGCCCCCTCTCTCCCCGAATGCTACTACTGATTGGTCCTTTTTTTCTCTTCTGTGGAGGAACCGGTATCCACTAAACCGGATTATACCGAAATATTCGGTTTTCTTTATTCTATCTCATCGACTTGGTTTCGTCGTGTCAAGTAGGGGTGGGCACAGATCGGATATCCGGGATTTTTGAGATATCCGTATCCGTATCCGATCCACACAAATATTCGATTTTGTTATCCGTATCCGATCCGTAATTTTCGGATATTTGCAATTTCGGATATTCGTAAAAATCACGAATATTTGCGGATATCCGTATCCGACCTAAAATATTATAAAATTTTAAATTTAAATTAAATAATAAATTCAAATGTAAATAAAATATATAATCTATTTAAGATAAATGATATTCACAAATTTAAAATTCATAATTTAAACATTCCAAATCAACTCAAATACAAATACAATTATAATTTATCACATACAAATATATTCAAAATTCAAAATTCAAAACATTAAACATAATAAATCTTAATATTCAAAAGATTTAAATTATAAACCTCAATATATATAAAATTTTTTTTGAATCACCCTTAAAAACGTGTAAATATTAAGCATTTTAAATCTCCATATGAAATTATTCTTATATTTAATAATATTATTACAAAATACGGATCGGATCGGATATGTCGGATAATTCAATTTTAATATCCGTATCCGATCCGTATCCGACAAATATCTCTAAAGAAATATCCGTATCCGATCCGTAAACTCCGGATATCCGAATTTTCGGTTCGGATACGAATCGAATAACGGATCGGTTCGGATTTTTCGGATATTTTGCCCACCCCTAGTGTCAACCTCGCGATTCTAAACCCTTTTTGTGTTTTTTTTTTCAAAACATAAACAAAAATATTACTTGAATTTATATTTAGGGTGTCAATTTTGTTCTGAAATTTTAAGGCTGGTTCAGAACCTAAATATATGGGTAAATTCCAATAAAAACCCTGTAATTTTCTCTCGTCACAATTTAAACTCTGTATTTTTTTGTTGATTGAAAAAATCCTATACTTTTATAAATTGCCAAAATATATGGGTAAATTTCAATAAAAACCCTATAATTTTTTCTCGTCACAATTTAAATCCTGTATTTTTTTGTTGATTGAAAAAACCCTATACTTTTATAAATTGGTAAATAAAACTTTATACTTTTAAAAATTGGCAAAAAAATCCTGAAGGAAAAATAATAATATTTCTGATGAGTCACATGCCACATCATCAACTCTATGTCACATCATCAAATCTAATATTTAATAATATTAATTAATAAAAAATAAAAAAATAAAATTAATAAAATTATGTATTATAGCGATGAACCAATGAAGTTACATACAAATATGACAGAACGATTTAAAATAATTGTTGTATAAGTTTAAAATTTTGGATTTTAGAAATTAAATATTTAGGGTTTATGTACTCGTTTTCATTTTATTTTTATGCTATTTAAATGTATTGTTTTTTATTATTTAAATACATATTTTAATAATATTTTAATTTTTGAACTTTTAAATTTTAATTATTTATATATTTTTATTAATTGATTTTAGAATAAAATCTAACATGTTTTATAAAATTAAAACTTTGAAATATAACTACGTATTATTTAATTAAATGTGTTTGGTGTTTGGTCGAATTTTTTTTTTCTTTCCATTTTGTTTCTACGCATGGTATTTGGCATAATCTTTATTCATTTTTATTTTTATTAAAATTTTCTGTGGAATTGTTTTTGTTTTTAGATGTGAGAATTTTATGATGTCTGTTGGTCCCTCATATCACACTATATAGATTGATAGCTTTTCAGTTTTTGGGATTTTTTTTTCTTTTTGCTATAGGAGGTTAGATTTTTTTCCGATTTGCGGTGAACGCGAGTTTGTTTAGGCAATTTTAATGGTGTAAAACGGGTTGGCTCGATCCAACTCCCTTTAGATCGTTTGAGCCAATTCTTTTTTAGTATACATCACCTTAATCCATTTTTTATGAGTCAAGAAAAAATCTGGCTCGACCAAATCATTCTAGTTCGCGATAAAAGAAAAAGAAAAAATAAAAAATATAATACAAAATATTATAAAAATTAATAAAACTATTTAGAAATATTAAAATTATAAAAATTATTTAAAAATGCAGTTCATCTCGTGGCGAACTCACCAATTCCGTCCGTTTTTAAGCTTAAATTTTATGAGCCCAATTCAAAAAAAAATACAAATTGGTCCATTTTGATACCCTTGGCGAATTCTCCATAATTGCCTCTAAAGTAAATGACCACTATTATAGATTTTATTAATTTTTAAACAAACACGTCCTGAGGATTATAAAAAAAAAACATCAGGTAATAGCATTCGATCTTCAATAGGATTCTTATGGAGTACAAAAAAGCAACATAAGAAACAGAACCCGAGCTTTACAGCAAATGGCACCGCACCATGGAACCCGATCTTCAGTAAATCCGGAGATGGACTAGGAACTATTTCTATCCCATGTTGCAAATGACTTGTCGTGCCAAAAAATTTGATTAGTGGAATTAGGGAAGTCCGAGTGAATTTTTAGTCTCCAATCCTCTAAGAGAAATGAAACCAGTAACCCAATTAGGAAGCCCTAGAAGCTTTTTAAATGTTTATTAGTGGTTTTTTAAAGGGTTAAGGACTCGGGTTTTGATGCAATTGGTTTTATTTTATTTTTAGACTATATTTATCTTAATTAACAAATAGAATTCAATTTGATTACTTAAATTTGGATGGTCTAGTGATAAGAGAACATGTAAGGTATATTCTTATCACGTATTTTAATTATGTGGAAGATGTAGTTGGGATATATGTTTTTTTTTTATAACGAAGGATCCCTAGCTGCTACTCTTTGGGCGCGCTGACTAGGTAAACCTCCGGTCCGAAAGCAACCTTTGTATATGGATCATATAAACCCAGAAATTACCTCCCTCTCCACCAGTCAGGAATCGAACACTCAACCTTAAAGTGAAGTTACCTCCAGTTGGGACATATGTTCAGTGAATTTTCTAATTATAAAAAAAAATACGATTTGGTTTAAACTAGATAAAACAAAAATAAAGTCTGATTTTGTAATCTCAAATTTGGTTAGTTTTTTTTTTTAAACCGGAAACAAAATTGGTTCCGCTTAATAAGATTAAAAGGTTGCTAAATTACCGGGAATTGGTACCAACTTCAACATGTGACATCAATTCCATGCCTCTTTCCTTCCCCTGGTCTTTCTCATTATTTTTTTTTTGTAAAAATCGATATTCTATATTTATTTTTAAAAGTAGATTTTTTTAGTAAACTCATTACTTTAATGGAAAAGGCTAAGAGAAAAAAAAAAGAAAGAGAATGAGAAGGAGATGCTATTGTAAAATATGTCTCGTGCTTTAGAAAGCACCATAAGACAAAACACAATAAGATTCTAAGTAAAGATGCTTTTGGGGTGATCTAAGCAGCTAATATTTTAAATACAAGTCACCAAAAAAAAATGCCAAGAGAGATATGCCATTCTTTTTTTTAATATTTTATTTTAAATTTATATTTTATTTAATTCATTTATCTCCTAATAGGTCCATATCGCAAAAAGGACTGATGCCTTGTGGCCCCACTAAGATCATGGGTCCTCTTTCTTTCGATAAATATCGCTCAAAAACAAAAAATTCGAAACATTCTTTTTCCAAATAAAAATGGGTTTGAGTATAAATTAGATATTTTAGGTGAAAATATGAATTTAGTAGCATGAAACTGTAACTGCAAAGATATGTAGTGGAAATGACAAAATGTAAGCCAATCTTATGAAATTAAAATGAAGCTACGAATAGAAATTTTTAAAGTTTTTTTCTTAAATTTAAACTGATATTACTGAATAAAACCAAAAAAAAAGTAAAAAGTTATTTTCTTCAGATTTTAGTATTGATTTGATTTAGAACCGTATTCAGGAGTTCATCAAGTTGTTAATATCTTTCATTTTGTTCATAACAGACACCTTGTCTGTTTTTTTTATCTAATCATCTTTAATTAAAAGGATTAAGGAAAATGTAGAAAATAGATGCAATAAAGATGTCCTATATTAATTTATTACCACTCTTTACTAAAAAAAACATGATGATATTTTGAAAATCAACTTTAATCAATTCCATATATTACCTCTATCTAAGAAAAAGATTCAAATACCTCAATAATGTTATAATTATTTCTACATTAGTTATCATGATGAGTAATTGAATTAATACATTACTTTCCGCGTAAGTTATATTTTAACCTCGTAATTAAATAAATTATTGTCAACACCTAATTATTTTACAATTTGAATACGAGATGGAATCTTTAATTACCATTGTTCAAATTGGTTGAGGTTTGTATGTTTCTTGGATATATTTTGTTTATATCGTAGCTTGAGGAATACGGCTGTAAATTTCATAGAAATATGCTCCTTCAAGGATTTAAAAAGCTGCCTGCATAAGAAAACGACTACGGATTGATCGGGATGACGAGCCGGTTTTGAATTTTGTGGTCGGGTTACTGCTAGGAAAGGTGCGCAATAATTGAGAAAGAGTGAAAAATCATTTGATTTCTCATTATTCAAAATAGAACATTACAATATTTATAAGTAGAAATATAATATTTTGTAATAGTATTATAATTTTCATTATATCTTAACGATCTTCTGTAATATTCTCGATATCTCTTGATACACAAACGGTTCGGTTATTTGAAAACCGAACCGAACATAATCGATTTATATCCGAACTGATCAAAACGATTAAAATTAAATAACCGTTTAGTTATAAAATTTTGAAACTCTTTATATATATATATATATCTTTGGGATTCACCGTACATCGATTCAGTCTCCTTCATTTGTTGAAAACTCGGGTTCCTATTCGATTATACGTCGAGTCATGGTTCTTGAGGTTA